CTTCGCCATTGATATGGAAAAATATCTCACCTCTCCTACACCACTAAGTCTTTATCATATAAGAATCCTTGAACTTTCTCTATAACATTCGTCCCTAGAACAGCATGACGAACCTTCATATTTGATTCAACAAAAGAAACTGTTAACGTCATAGCAAATGCTCGTTTATTAAAAGTGACTGTACAACCTTTAGACTCTTGAGCATTATCGTTTGTCAATTTTTTTCAATCTTTAGAAAATCTCACTTTCTTCCTCAATTTGGAAACACTCTTATCTATCTTGCTTAACCTCAACTTCGAATGTGATCATGACTCCTCCTTATGGTATAATTAGTGGGTCATTATCCCCAACACCTATAAATAAAATGCACTAAAAAATCGGAAAAATGAGATAAAATAAAGAAAAATATTATTGGCATCTCAACCTTAAAAGCAAGTGAGTCCATGTTGTTAGAGGAATAATTTGTATCTTAGTGCCTTTACAGTGAGCAACAATTATCTCGGTGGGTTTTTTACTATCTCAATATAATCATCATTTACCTTATAAAATGCCTGGAGAATGTGGAGATATCTTTATATTAGAGGCTTGAACATGAAATCTAATTGATACTTCATCACTCTCTCATCTCGACTTTGTGGTATAAATGACTTGTTAAAAGATAAAAAGTTAATTAATTTAGATCACTTTATGAAGTCATCAATTTTTCAGCATGTGGATGAGTAATTAATGAGCTCATTGAAAAGCCATGGATTTGCGCCTTTACTTTAGAATAGAAAAGCTCTCTCCTGAGTTTATAGCCCCTTAAATTTTTAAGAGTTCTAAGCCTTTTTTCTTTAATACTATGAGTTTATACTACTTTAGATTTTTAAATCCAATTAACAATTTACTTTAAAATGTATGATCCCATGTTAAATTATAAAATTAACAAAATAAATATGAAGCATACCTAAATCTACAACAGCAAAGTAGATCGAGCTTGATGATCTTCCACATCTAAACTCTTCATTCAAAAAAAAAAATTCTTAGGTTTAGTGATGGGAAAATAAATAAAGATTTGTTTATATTGTGGAACATAACATATTTATTCCCCGAAATTTTATTTTATTTTATTTAAGTGTATCAAAAAAATAAAATAAAACTTTGAACTTAATATTTTACAAAGTAAATGCAAATTAAGAGATAGTTTAACAAGTTTAATAACTTTATAAATATAATTGATCATTTTTAACAAATCCAAGAATTAGATAGCAACAAAAATGCATAACTAAAAATATATCGATCTACATCCATAAATTACCTAATAACATGAACTACTAAGTATAAATACACTCCACCGTTGCAATATGCATGCTACCATGATCATATATTTTTAAGAAGTGCGATTGTTTTGTGCCCTATCCTTTGTAAAAGGGAACAATACCATCATGGGGTCAATCGTTTGTAACAAGATGATGAATTATCTATTAAAGCATACAATTCTTAATTTCAACATATCCTTCACAATTCGACGAAACCCATGCAAAATTGCCCAGTTGGGTGATGCTATATCAACCACTTAGTAAGAACTTCCTCCCACAAAAAGGAATGATGATATCAAGTATTACATTTAATTGAAAAATCTTATGCGATCTTTGAATACTGGTTTCAACATTAATATTAATGCATCATAAAAATTTTGACTTATATTTCTAATCCTTTTATAAGTATTTAAAAAACTTTTGATTAATTCTCTATTAAAGTACAGGTTAGGAGACTACATGGTTAAGTAATGAAACTAAAACGAGAAAATACATATATCAAGACAATAAAAATTGAGTTTGCAATCGACTCACCATTGATGCAATTTAAAAGTAGTTATAGTAAAAGAAAAAGTAAATGAAATTAAGAAAACAAAGAAGGAAAAAAGAGAAAAAAGAAAGAAAGAAAGAAAGAAAGAAAACATGAAAGTTGCAAGATCCATGAGAATTGAAGATGGGAGAGAGACAATTAAAAGAGAAGAACCTTGATGTGCCTTATCTCGTAGTTGTGGACAAACTATGCAATACACGTGAGAGGAATGAAAAGTTCTCTAAACTATATCAAAAACTATATATACTCTTTATGTCAATTCTCTTCTTATTTTTATTTTTATTTTTTTCCATTATATATATATATATATATATATAACTCAAAAAAATCCACCATCAAGATTTGATTCAATTTTTTTTTTGGGGGATAAAATTATACATCTCACCCAATGCTTTAAATGATATTGTTTTCCCCAGACACGGAGAATATGACTATTGGTATAAAATTAAAAGGGTTATGGGCATTTTTAGAAAGGAAAAAATATTCTTTGGTAGATCCGATCTACAAGGGAAAAAAACCAGTAAATATTTACTTGAGAACCAATGGAACTTCATATAGTATTTTTTGACCCAAAACAAAACAAAAAAAAAACAAAAAAGATTATAAAGAAATTAGAAGAAAAATGCGTTAGCATGCAGGTTCAGAGTACGCACTCTTAATAATAATAATAATAATAATGATTTAGTTTGATAATAAATTAGTACTAATTTAATAACGAGGCAAAGGAGAGAGGGAAAGTGGATTTCTTGGATGCCCCCGTGATTCCCGTTGGAACTTGAAATGGAAAATTTCTCTTTCAAAATCCTGCCCATCACCTACAACACATGAATACTCAAATCATATTCCAATTCTCTCTTCTATCAAGATTTACGTATACACCATAGATAAGTGCCTAGCAATTTAAATCAATTATGTTGTTTACCTGTAAGAAGCTTCTTTACTCTGAATTAACTATGATATAGCTTTCTTTTACAAAGATTCGTATATTTTATTAATGAAATATTACTTACATACACACATAAAAGTCATAGTTCAGGATTAAATAAAATATGTAAATTCCAATCCGAACCAAAAAAATAAAACTAAATCGATTTGTTTGATCCTCAATCTTATGATGACTTTTCTTATATGTATTACGTAGTGTTTTTCTTCTAGTTTTTAAGTCTTCTTTGCATAAATTGCTTTAATCTTTTTGCTTTCCAATGGTTGAATGTCTTCAATAGCTTGTTGGTGTGGTTTCCCCTAGATATTAAGAATCCCGTGTATGTGTTAAGTATTGTTGGTATTAGAGGGCTAAAGTGAAGCTTCTTGTGGTATAAATTTTTTTTTTTTGTGATTTAGTTATCATGGAGGAAATGCCACATGTTCTTTTATTGCTTATTTATTTATTTTTTCATTATAGCCTTTTTTTTTTGTCAACATAAGCGATTTAACTCTATTATTTTTCTGATCCTTGTTATCTTGTAACTTCAAATATATATTATAAGGCTTTACAAATTTAGTGGTGCTACCCCCAATTGTAGTGTTATATTGAGAATTCAGGTTACTAGCTTGTAGTATAATAGTGCTTATGATCTATTTTTATGTATGGTTCTTTATTTATTTTTTCTACAGGTATTGTTTGCATCTATGTGAAATTGAAGAGAATTTTTCAATGATGGAAGGCCACCATCTATTTTTCTTATTCTTTATTACTAAAGAATACTTTTTGTTTTACTTTATATAACTTTTTTTTATCTTTTTTGGTGCTCGTTTTATTTAAGAATGAACTTGTTGATGTAACTATTTTTTGAGTGATTCTACCATCTCTTGAAATAAAGCTTATCCAACTTTCAAAAAGGCAGCTATTTAATAAAAATATTGTAATTATTCATCATTGGTGTGATTTAATTCATGAGAACACACTAAATCTAAATGAGAGTGTAATGTTTCAAGACATCGGTTAGGCAATAGGGTTATGTCCATGAAAGTTGATTGTACTCAAGAATTACTTGAATTATATTTTTCAGTTGAAATAAATATTAAAAGTTAAATTAATTACTTATGTTTTTATTTATGTGAATCTTTAGTATCGTTGCTCCACAGTTTATTATTAACTGAGAAAATTACTTTTTTAAAAAAAAATTATAGATACGCATATAAAAAACTACCAAACTGAATAAAATAAAATAAAAAATATTTTGCACTTATTATATGGGGTATAAATAATTGCAGTAATATGAAACCCCAATAAAGAATGGAATATACAATGTGGAAATTAATAATATCATTTTATAATTTTTAACTCCTAGAAGACAATCTAGAAACAAAGTCCACTTTTAAAGTGCTAGAAGTTGAAATCAAATAATCAATAAAATAACGACTTTGTTATTCTTCGCTTAAAGTAGCAAGACATATTTCAACCAATGGAACTTCCCCAGCAATTCCTTTCATTCATTTTATTTTTTGACTCATCATGTCGATCATGCATGATTATGAAAATTACAAATACACATGCTTTTTCCAGTGAAGTTAGGACCAAATATATATACATATATTATTAGCTAGTTTATATATTTATTATATTGAAATAGACCTCATTTCATGCGTGATACATTATATAACCTATACAAATATGTAGGTATTATATATTCTATCAAATATTGTTAAACAATTGAACGAGAAAAACAAAAAGATATGTATGTATTTGATTTATATATATATATATATATATAAGATGATTTTAAGTGAATAATTGTTTACACTCCATGTCCCAAGAGATAAAGAAAGGGTCACCAATCTCCTTCAACTCAAGATCTAGGGTTTCCCAGCCATCCCAACCTCTGTGCGTAGAACTGCAAAGCTTTTGTCTTTGTTTCATGTCTACGTGTTTATATATTTTTCTACAATAAAAACAATGTCTGTTTTCTTCTAAGTAGCTGCCTGACACACGCTGAGCAAGAGAGAGGAGGTACACGACGATCATATATATATATATATACATAGATGTATTATTTGTATATACATACAGATGCCATTGTCGTTTTTAAGTGTGAAAATTTTTTGCTTAAATTTATAGCTCCCGAGATTTTTGTCTGATGCGTAATTATAGCTCCAAGATTTTTAGAGTTGAAGAAACATAAAGGAAATATTGATAGCTAGTGGGTACAAATATGGAAGGAAGTGGTGGCACTCAGTGCTCCAAGACAAGTCACAGTAACCCAAATCAAGGCGAGAGTAGTGAACAGAGTGAAGAAAACGACGACGTATGTAATAAGCTTAGAAATGGAGGAAGCTCAAGCAACAGCACTGTGGAAGAGAACGAGAAGAAGCCCATGGTACGGCCTTATGTTAGATCCAAGATGCCTCGTCTCCGATGGACTCCTGATCTTCATCTTCGTTTTGTTCATGCTGTCGAGAGACTCGGTGGTCAAGAGAGTAAGTACATCTAAATAAATATATATATATATATGTATGTATATTCTTTTCTTTTCTTTTCTTTCCCCTTTTTTTGCTTGCCAATCGAGTTGATCTCCCTTTTTTTTTTGTTTTTCTTTACTGTGAAGGAGCAACTCCAAAGTTGGTTCTTCAACAGATGAACATTAAAGGCCTCAGTATCGCTCATGTCAAGAGCCATTTACAGGTACTATTCCAGATATCTATGATTTATTTATACATGCATGAATCGATCCCCTGCAAGATTCCACTTAGAGAAGTAGTTTCGTTCTCTTTTCTATAATTAGAAATTACGTTTTCTCCCAAGTTTCCATCTTTGATCTGGCAATTATTCTGGTTAGATGTATAGGAGCAAGAAGATGGATGAGCCAGGTCAAGGTACACCGATTTCTCTGCATTAAAGTTTTCTTCTTGAACTGTCATAAAAGCAAATTAGGGTACCTTTATTACATAATGAATACGATTTGGGGTTCATTTATTACATCACAGCCATAGCCGATAATAAGTATCTTGTGGAAAGTGGAGATGGCAATATTTATAACTTAAGCCAACTTCCCATGTTGAAAGGATACAACCAAAGCCAAGGCTCCCCTTTCAGGTGTGTAATAAAGTTAACAATATTATATATATATATATATATATATATATATATAACGCTGTCTGAATCCAATTTGAATTCTCAAATTCTTTTCTGACTAATTCAAGATATGGAGAATCATCATGGTGTAATCAAGAATCCTTAACCAATACTGGTTCTTGCTCGAGCTGGGGTTTCATCAATGCATTCAGGCCTGGATCATTGGTGGCTGGAAGGATCTATGGTGGCCACAATATTATTAGCAATAATAGCCCTTGTTCTATAGGATCATCCTTGTCAAATTCTCACTGTGCAAGCCAAACCCATGAGCAATATCACTTATCTACTTACACTAAGTCATGGCAATCTGAATACAAAGCAAACCAGAGTGATCAGCTCAACCAACCACAAGCGAAAATGGAAGATTGCAAGAGTATCAAGGGATTCATTAATGGACCAAGTTCCCTTTCTGGTTTAAACCAATATAACACAAAAGAGAACAAGACGGTGAAAAGGAAGGCTTTGGCTTGCAATCTCGACTTGGATCTGTCTCTAAGGTTAACCCCAACAAGTTTAATTAATATCAATCATGGGAGGTCCCGAAATTTGGAGGTCGAAGATGAAGATGACAATGATTTATCTTTGTCTTTGTATTCCCCATCTTCAGTGAAGCTTAGCAGGTTGAAACAAGGAGTAGAGGAACAAAATGAGGAGATGGCAAGAAGGGCAAGTACTCTAGATCTGACTATATGAATTACACAATTCTAAGTGAGATCTTGAGGTACTTCTCCAAAACACAATTCTTATCACTAGCTTGTACTATTGCATAAATAATTAATAATCCATCCACTTTATTTATTTGATATTTGGTTTTTTACCATTAGCATACACAATCTAATTATCAACCTGCTTGAATATTTGCCCTTGATCAGTAGATTAGTAGATTGCATATATACATTTTCTTTAACCATTCTTTAATTGAACAATATACTTTGTCTTATAGCTTAAAATTTAATAGTTTTATAAGTTCTATATATAATGTATTATGTGCACGCATTTACACGTATGACCTTATAATTTTTACTAGAGTTAAGATAAAGAGTTGTTAGGATAAAATTAAATGTATGATATCATAATTATCTCATATGATTGTATATATTTTGAATCTAATTGAGATAACTTAAATATGTAAACTATTTATATAAATTGATAATTTTCTTGTCAACAGTAACAAGTTTACTAACGCGGTTAGACATTTGTGTGTGTATATATATATTAGGATATATGGTAACTTATCTATATAAATTGATAATTTTTTTACCAACATAATAAGTTTCTAAACACGGTTAAACATATATTTGTGTACATAAATATATGTATATCGGGATATATAAGTTAGTATATAAATATATATATATCGGGATATATAATAACTTATTTATATAAATTGATAATTTTTTTACCAACATTATTAAGTCTACAAATGCCGGTTAGACATATATGCATATATATATATATATATATCAGGATATATAGTAACTTATCTATATAAATTGATAATTTTCTTACCAATACTGATAATCTATAAATGCGGTTAGACATATATGTGTGTGTGTGTGTATATATATACATATAAAGGAATATATGGTAACTTATTTATTAATTGATAATTTTCTTACCAACATTAGTGAGTTTGTAAACGCGGTTAGATATATGTGTGTGTGTATATATATATATATCGGAATATATGATAACTTATCTATATAAATTCATAATTTTCTTGCCAACACTAATGAGTCTGTAAACGCGGTTAGACATATATGTGTTTGTGTGTGTATATATATCAAGATATATGGTAAGTTATCTATATAAATTGATAATTTTCTTGCCAGCACTAATAAGTGTGTAAATGAGATTAGACATATATGTGTATATATATATATATATATCAAAGTGTATACTATATATGTTTCATATCTCTTATTATGTCATGAATTTAATTGAAATACAATTGTTATGGTCCTCTTTTTTAGAACTTGACTTTGAGAAGTTAATTTTGAACAAATATAAGATGAATGTCTCATCACAGTTAAGAAAAACTAAGAGAAGAACATATTTAATATGATATTACGTGCATGAAATAATTGATTTAAGAATTTGACAGAAAAAACCCGAAACTTTTATTTACAAAGACAAGAATTTCTTCTCCTATTACCGTGAGATATGGTTGAGTATGATTTATATATATTTACTTATGTTTGATTTGAGAATTAAAAGATCATAATAATGTATACATATATTCGATTTGAAGTTTGCTTTTCATAATACGGAATTGAAATTAGATTAATATAAACACAAAATATAAAGTCGTTCTAAAACAAATGAACTGCTTCATTGATATAAAAAGAACAACCACTACAATTAATTCTACAACTTTATTTGGTTTTTCTTCTCTTTTAACGATGCTTTTGTTTGTTCTTGCCAATTGATCTAATCACTTCCGAATAGCTTCTCCTTCCACAGTGCCCGCAAATCTTTAATCATTGAGTCATGCTTGTCCTGGAGGCGTTTAATACGCACTGCATTTAATACAAGTTAATGATTAAAAATGTTGAAACTATTTTTTTTTTTTTTTGCATACGCATGTATATATAATAAAGCGAACTAAATGAATGTCTTATAAAAAATTACGTACTGTCTCTCTCCCCAGTGGTGGCCCGAAGAGTCTCCAGCCTTCCTTTCAACTCAATTATCTCATTCTGAAGCTGCACGAGTTGGTACTTCAAGAAAACAACTTGTTCTAGTTCTGGAGTTTCCAAACTCTTTGTCCAAATGACAAGAAAAAAGCAAATATCAAAGAATTATAATGATAAGGACAAAAGCACCATGACATACGTAATTGATGGATTTATATAAACATATATTTATTTTGATACATATGGAATTCATACCAGTACAAAGACGATTAGTCCGAGAAGACGTTCTAAGTGGGCAGTCTGTCGAGCTTGACTCCTCCTACGTAATGCTCTGTTTATGGCTCGACTACGAAATGAAATCAAAACTAAAATTATTTCATCGAGAAAAATAATAATCACACAATGATATATATATGAATAAAAGACATAAGTTATGGGTGCATTAAAACAAAACATGACAAAAAGAAAAACAACATAAAGGAAAATCTATACAGGTAGTGTGGAACCGCCATGATTAGAGATTAGAGTTTTTCTCTTAGAAGAAGATGATGGGTAAGGATTGATATGTGATGAGCTAGTAGTAAGGATGGATTTCTAAGACATGGCTACTGCCCTTTTTATAATGGATTTTTTTACTCGAAAAAAAAAATTGGTCTTGCCTTAATGAAATTGATATGTATGAATTAAAGTTTATATCACTTTTAGGACTACAATGTACACATGTTAAGTTATTAGAGAAAATAGAAAAGTACTATTGTAATTTCCTTATATGATTGTTTTCTTAAAGAACATTCCAACTGTATTTACCTTGATGAGTATGATGGATTAACGGCTAAAGAAAAGTCTTTACTCTACTTGTCTAATGTTTGAAAAATAACTGATATATGAATAGAGTAATGGTAATACCGAAATTGGGGAGAGAGAATTTGGAATGACAGAAATATGTAACCTATTTTTGTTTATTCTAATTTTTTTGTAAAGATTTTAAGTTAGGTCAACTTACTATGTTATGTATTATATGGTCGGCTACAATGAATTTCGGTTTTAGAATTTAAAAATTTGTCTGAATTCGATCCAGTTATATGAACAATTTTTTTTTTTTAATTTTTAAAAATAAAAGTACTTAAACTAAGATACTCTAAAACTTTAAACAAATAATGAAAAAAAAATTTAGAACCCTAAACTCCATTCCTTTTTTACAGGTAAAAAGAGAGCTTTATTAGCTTTATTAGGGCAAAGTCAATGATGACAAGGCCAATGTTAAATTTAATACCCGTAAAATATATATATAATATAAATAAATTAATAATAATAAACAAATAAATAGAATATTCATTAATTATTTAAATATTAAGGTGTCATAGTTTTCTTAAACTATTCTTTAATAAACCATTATAAATATCAACCTCCTAAATCTTAAATTTATTTCTCTGTTCAAATTTTGGAAGAAACTCTCAACAGACATGGAGGAGGAGGAAATGATTCATTGATAAGGACCTAAATTGATATTAGTATTAGTTATTTCTCGTATTGATGGATAATATGAGAGAATTCTATAGTTTTTGCATAATTTTTATATGATTTACTTAATTTTTCTTATAATAACTTAATCGTTTTAACAAATTTACATAGCAAATTATACATCAAAATAAAATTTTTATAAAGAGCTTTCTATTCGTGCTATAATCACAGCCGATTGAGCTATTTGATATAAGAAAATTGAATTTAAAGACAATAAGTCACATGTTTACGCATCAGTCGTTGACTAATTTGGCGGTTTTGAAAATTGCGCTTCTAACCATTGTTGGGGTGATTTTTCGATGAATCTAATAGCTGTTCAAACAAGTTTACACCAAGATTACAATCTAATTCATTTGAGATTTGGATATATCACGAACTGAAGTTTAGGGGCTCGCCATCCTAATATGGAAAAGTTTTTCACATTTGGAAACGTATCCTGTTTCCAGTTTTCAATGAGTGTAACTCCCTCCTTATTTTTCAAAATGAATTTGAAACTTAAAATTTTTATATGTATTTTAAAAATTATATTATATTTTCTATCTATTTCATAATTTTCTTAAAATAATATATTTTAAAATAATTCGTAAATTTTATAATTTTATTGTCGTGGAAAGTGTGCTTTGTTTTCAATGTTTTAAAACTTTAAAAATTATAGAAAATATTTTTTGAACATACTCTTAATATTTCTAATTTTCTAAGAAAGGTACTTATTATGATATACCTATTGTATTAAAACTTAATTTTTAGTTTTATTTTTAAAAAAAAATAACACACCCATAAAAATTAGGTTGATCATACCTTAAAGAGTCGGAGACAATAAGGTTGGATGTATAACATTAGTAAGTATAAATTTAGATTTATTTTGATTAGTAAGAAAAATACGTGATTTTTGGAGATAATTTAACATAATATAGGATTATTAATTTACTTACTTTCTAGAGTCTAATTGCTTTAGAAATTTTAGTTAATATAAAATTTTAGATTATCACATTTTTAATAATTTGAGAACTATATGATGGGAAAATTGTTGTATTTTTATGTATTAAAAAAACTAGTAGTTTAAGATTTTTAAATTACTTTAAATAAGTTACTAAAAATTTTAGTGTATAAATAGTTACAAAGTATAATATTCTAATATTTTTATATGAAATTCGTGATCTTAATAATGAGATTTAAAAATTATATATTGTATCATGTCAATAAGTATTAAATATTGATTAATAATTTATGATCTTATCAATGGGGGATTAAACATTGAACATTATACTCCTAGTGGGAGTTAAATATTAATCGTACAAATATGTTAATTTGTTAGGAAGTATTTTTGGTATCATATTGCCCATGATAGAGTAGCGAACTAATCGTAATTTTATGACTTGTGTTAATGAGGTAATTATGGTATGTTAAGAAAATTTAGTTTTCATATCATTACTTATTAAAATTTAAAGTATCATTATTTTCTTTATATGATAATAATCAACTATGAAGTATTAGTCAATTATACATTGTCAAGCTCACAAATTACAATATTTCTTATAATTTCAAAATGAATTTGAAACTAAAATTTTTATATGTATTTTAAAATTATATGATATTTTCTATCTATTTCTTAATTTTCTAGAAATAATATGTTTTTAAAAGAAATTCATAAATTTTATTGTCGTAGAAAGAGTACCTTATTTTCAATGTTTTAAAACTTTAAAAATTATAGAAAATATTTTTTGAACATACTTTTAATATTTTTAATTTTCTAAGAAAGGTACATATTATAATATACCTATTGTATTAAAACTTAATTTTTAGTTTTATTTTTGAAAATAAAAAATATATACACACCCGTAAATTCGGTTGATTATACTTTAA